GCGATTGGCAAGCGATTGCGCAATGTGCACAAGCGACGGGCGATTGGCCCCGCCCCCAGCAAATGCAGTCGGCTGCGGTATCGATCGAGCAGAGCCATTGCCCGTCGCTTGTGCACTTTGCAAGCGATTGCGCAATCGCTTGCCAATCAAGCGACGGACAAGCGATGGAGCGATCGCGATCGCTCCATCGCTTGTTCCGTCGCCGACTATGACGTCGGTCTTATTCTTCATCTTCTTTCTCACCACTCACGTTTGGCCGAAACAATTTTGAATTTGAGATTTCAGTCCCTTCTTCATTTGATGATTCCGCTTTCGGTGGTCTACTTCGGTGGGTATGTGATAAATCAAGGAGTGGTGAGGATGTGTTATTAATTTTCAACTGTTAGCTTTGGCTTAGTTCTCCACTTTTCTCATTGATTTTTTTCCAGACTCAATTGATTATTTTTAATTGCTCTGAGGGGTTCAATCTCAATTATAACGCCCAGTATCGATGGTATCAGGCGAGTTTCACAAATTCTTATGCATATGTTATCCTTCTATTATATAAAGCGCTAACTTTGTGTGTCGGTTTGTATGTATGTGTGTGTATGTGTGTGTATGTATGTATGTGTGTCCGTCCGCAAAATGAAGTGAGTGAGAAGGAAGCTCATGGGATAAACAAACCGCTAACAAATCGGGTAGCTCACAGGACTCGAGATATCAATGTTTTCTTCTTCTTCTCCCTAGCGTTAGTCCCGCGCAGTCGCAGGGTCCGCTGTCTTTGTCAGTCGTCGCCACTTCGCTCTGTCTAGGGCATCTTCTGCTGTGGCCGTGATTTCACTTAGGTCCTTCTTGATGACGTCCTTCCACCTCTTCTTTGGGGCATCTCGCGGTCGCTTGATATCAATGTTTTGTAGCAGGATAATTGTGATAACACTCTTAAGGCTAAAGAATCTGCTAAACATCTGCTTAGCACACTTCCGCTCATTCCAGTGGCAGCTGGAGGGCAGTGGAGAGAGGAAGGGAGGATGAGGAAGGGAAGCGAAAAATCTACCGTCATGATTATGGCGATGGCCTCTACTATATGAAACACCATTGTGTTGCATACGCGTCACTTCCCGGTGTTGGTGTCACAGGAGGAAGGGACCACAGCGGAAGATAAGAGCTTGCGCAGGAAACGAAGGTCCCGACGGCTGACGGGAGACCAATCTGGTAGTAATGAAAAATAAGAAGAGAAAGCTCAGGGAAAAACAGAAACTTTTTTTCGAGAAGAATTCAATCAGCCGAACTCATAAAGATCTTACGAGGGCGTACACACTGCCTAAAAAGCAAATATCAATATCAGTCGAGTTTTTCTTCTAAACTAATCGTACTAGTTGTACACCGGAAATGAACCCTGGATTGGTTTGTAAGTTAAAACCCTACAGATCCTTTATCGCTATATCGTATCACCCCCCATAGCCAGTACTCACATTAAAATATACGGTGTTTAAGTTGCGAATAATGGTGTGGACGTACTGCAGAAGGCTATGTTAAGGGTTCGAAGAACACATGACCAAGAATGTCATTATCTAAAAGGTACTTCTATTCAACTTGGAGTCTTTCATCTCCAAATAGTCGGTAAAGATCTGCGACTACGCATATGGTCATCGTAATTTTTTTTTTATACTCTACCAGAAATGTTTTCAGGTAAGCAGTCATAACAATCCCGTTACTCCACAGACGGGTGATCACAAATTGAGTAGAAGGAGAGCGTCGGTGCCATTTCCAAGCAACAATAATCGATGCAGGTTTAAGAGCACCGAAAGATACTTACCTGGGATCAGTTGCCCTTTAAGCCAAAGAGCTACGTGTGAATGGGTCAATTGAACAGGCAACTTCATATTTTGTCAATGCCAGTACTCCAGTTTGAGAAGTAGCCTTGTTCTCGAGTAGCAACCTCCAAGTACATAAGTTGTTTTGTTCACAAGAATGCTGGGTTGTGAACAAAACTTTCGCCCCAGGCGGGACTAGAACCCGCACCTCTCGCTTTCCGGGCAAGTGCGCTACCAGTTACGCTACCGGGGCACCATTTCATCCCAACTCAGCTTTCATGGTATACTTACCATAGCTTGTCAGCACTCACAGGTACTTCGGTCAACGTGTTGGTGGAAGTTTTTTTCACAACCCAGCATTCTTGTGAAATACTCGCAAGACGAACTGCGAAAAAAACAGCAGTCAACCACCAACGACATATGTGTTTTTCTTCTGGGTTTTACGTGCTGTATAAATTTTGTAATCACTTCATCCTGACATGATAATTTGTGCCTCTTCCACTTTGCGCATGAAAAGTGCCTTCCGTGTGTATTTCTTTTTGCGTGTCACGAAATCCATAACACGCGCCCAGTAACGGTAACATTGGGTTTATCATGTGATATTGGAATGGACTGGGTGATCAAATTAGATAACGACCGATAATGGCTAATAAGGGGAAGCAAAATATCGGCACCACAGCGGTCATCGCCGTTCATGGTAACAGTGGAAGGATGACTCCCAGATAGATGTATATACGACGGGGTTGCGCACATGGATGGTATAAGTCGGTGAGCCTGAGATATAGCGACACCTGATGATCTCGTGATGCTTCAGAGACCTGCGTATGGTCGATCATACTGAACCTTTCTGAAGCCCTGCTTATTCGCACCGCTTCCATTGTTTTGTATAGGTAGTTTTTTATTACACATTTTGATTGCAGCTAGTGTACACTTCTTGATAACTACATCCTAGCCAAAAGCAATTGCGGAATATTTCATTCAATTAGTGGATGGAAGGTGCAAACAAGGGGATGTGCGCAGAAAGTGTCGGCAGCTAGGGACGTCTAACATCCAATCTAACGATTATAAATTCCCTTCAATATCGGACAAATCTGTATAACTCATGCATATTATGTTGGACCTTATTTTTGCAGATCTCTAATTTCACCTTCCTGTTGTTTGAAGCAATTTACTGGTTCTTACCAAGTATAGCTATCGTCTTTGGCCTCATTGCCATTGAAGGGCTGGTGGGAGGAGCCGCTTACGTGAATACATATACAAAAATACACAAAACGGTAAGGTCTGAAGATTGTCATTAAAGTTACGGATTAGGCGTGTGCATGAAGATTCGTGAGAGATGATAGGGCCCGCACACTCGGTGTGTCGCACAATGTTGAATGGAGCCATTGCTTGAAAATTGCATGATAGTATTATAATTAATAATATTTCTGTGTAGATAAATATGTAGCACACTTATTTAAGGTTCAACCAGATGTTCGAGAATATTCACTGTCAGTTGTTTCGATTGGCAATGCAGTGGGAATAAATTCTGCTGGATTCGCTGCTATTCCTATTCATAATTATGTGTGCAATGAACCGTTGCATCGATAATAATTCACCTTGAGTTCGTGTGGCAAACATAAAAGTTTACATGCACATGTTTTTCAAAATTATTAGCTCAATTGCATCTGGTTACTGTGCAAGGTTGGAGGTCATGTTGGCTGAGTTTTGGCTGAGTCTCATTGCGACGTATGTCCACAGCATTAACTTGTACAATATCGAAAGGTTTCTTAAATCATACGCTGAGAACTGCTGGAAATTTGGACAAGAATGAAGTGTTCTCTTTGGCATGGACTGAAGAGGTCTGAAAAATTAATCCCTTCTATATAAACCGCTAACTTGGTGTGTCGGGCGTCATTTGTACCTGCGGTAAAGAATGTTAAAATTCAAATACCAAAAGTTTTAGGGGCAGGTC